TGGGACCAGTGCCCTCTAGTGCCATGGAAGGAAGTGCTGTAACTGTTGGGACCAGTGCCCCTAGTGCCATAGAAAGGAGTGCTGTAGCTGGTAAGACCTGTGCCCCCTAGTGTTATGGGAAGGAGTGCCTTAGCTGTTGGGACCAGTGCTCCCTAGTGCCATGGGAGGGAGTGCTGTAGCTGTTGGCACAAGTGCCCCTTAGTGCTATGGGAGGGAGTGCCCTAGCTGTTGGGACCTGTGCCCCCTAGTGTTATGGGAGGGAGTGCTGTAGCTCTTAGGACCAATGCCGCCTAGTGCCATGCCATAGGAAGGAGTGTCGTAGCTGTTTGCACCAGTGCCTCCTAGTGCCATTGGAGGGATTGTCATAGCTGTTGGGACCTGTGCCCCCTAGTGCCATGGGATGGAGTGCTGTAGCTGTTGTGACCAGTGCCCCTTAGTGTCAAAGAAATGAACGCCATCCTGTTCTTTTGGGCTGCACATGTGCAGTGTGTACTCTATTCTCCCACATATGATGAGCGCACTTTCACAGGAAGGCCAGATCTTGCAATGAACTCTCTATACTGTGAAAAGCAGTAAATAACATAATGGCCCATATGTTGACAAATAGATACAACTTGACCAAATAATGACTGGGGAAATTACTGGAATTACTGCATGCTTGGGGATGTCTGTGCCTTTAGCATAGGACTAATTTGGTTGGCCAGAATTCTCCTTTTTTCTACTCACTCTACTAGTCCCTTCTCCCTGGAGTGGGAGAACCAAGGGAAGAACCAAAACCTCTCCACAATCTCTTCCTTAAGCTCAGTCCTTATACAGATGATTAGCTTTCTCCCGTATATCCTATGAGGGGGACCCCTCAGCAGGCCCACCAGGGAGGGGAGAGCAAAACAACCATGGCAGGCCTGTCCTCTTCATATGCTCTCCACTTGGCCAGAGCCCCAGCTCCATCCACCTAATAAATGGATTCCCAAAATTCTCCACTTAGGAGGAGCAAACCTTAAAGGGGACTTTACCCAATCTCCACATGCCTACATGCTGGTCCCAATACATCACTCCCTCCCATTAGCATTTGGGGGTGCTGGTCTCAATAGCTATAGTGCTCCCACCTTTGGCACTAGGAGATGCTGGCCCCATCAATTACAGCACTCTGTCCCATAGCACCATAGTATTTGGGAAGCTGGTCTCAACAGCTACTGGGCTTCCTAGAGTATCACTTCAGTGACAGGTTTTTTGAGGTCTGCCCTGATATTGGGGGAGGATCTATGGCTTTCGGGTCTTTTTCCTTCTCCCACGGGGGGTCTCTCTTTGGGAGAACCATCACCAGGTACTTTGACGACTGGCGTCGGCTGCTCCCCAAGGAGCATGGTCCACCTGTGCAGGGAGGCTACAGTGCAATTGCCTACAAGTTGCCCTGTGCCCCGGCAGGGTTCAGGGATGCAGGCCCTTCTTTTTTGGAGGTTAGTGCTTGTAACGGAACCGGACCCTGACTGCACTAGGGTATTTCTGTTAGACTCCTGCTTCCCTGTCCGAACATAGACCCACGGACACCACTCTTGAATGAAACCAGGAAATAGACTGCTTTATTTTAACACAGACACAAGATATAAACATTCAAGGGAACAACCCACCTCCCTGCATATGGACACAGAGAGGGGCAAACCAAATCTAGCAACCAGAGACACATCAGTAGACACCACCCACCAAGCCAATACACAAACACATACATCCCATAATAGTTTGCTCCCAAGCAAGACACACAATAGAACAATGGGATGCACCACATGGCAGTAAACAATGAACAACCCCCACACCCCACCTATACATGTCTACACAATATCAGGATATTCAACCCTGTACCCCTAACAGGCACAGGGTGACTTACACATAATAGGAATATGGGGAGCTGAGACAGGGGTCTCCCCACCCCTCCAAAGGGGGCTGTGTTCCATGGGCCCCCCCACCCAAAGTGGCTCCCGTCACAGTGCTATTCTGTAACTCATGCACTTTTTGTGTGCAGTGATTTACTTTTTTGCTCACAGGTATTCGACCACCGTCATGGAAAAAAAAGAAAGAAAAAGAAGAAAAAACAAAAGGAAAAAAACATTATGTTTTTTGGTGGACTTACCCTTTAACCACTTCCCGACCGGCCGTTGTATATAAACGGCCGGACGGTGGCAGTGCAGGGTCGGGTGGCCGTTTATAAACGGCCTCCCCGCACCCTGCTTGTGCATGCTCCCTGGGAGTGCGCAGCTCCGCGATCCGGTGCCCGCTGTGTCCTCCGGACACAGTGAAACACCGGTCGTCGGACGGGACCTCTGTACAAGGTCCCAATCATGTGATCACTGATTGGCCAATCAGTGATCACATGCAAAGTAGTAAGCAAGATGTCACTTGTGACATCATTGCCTACTACGTGTGAAATCTGTGAATGATCACAGAGGTCACATGGTACAAGGCTATTCACAACAGCCTTGTACCATGTGACAAGCTGTGACCAATCACAGCTCACTCAGTACTTCTCAATGACTGCAAGAATGCAGACAGAGAGAAAGAGAAATGATTGCTTTTACATCCTATATGGGTGTAAAAGCAATCAGTGTAAAAAAAAAAAAATCTTCATCACCCCCCACAAGTAGTACAGTGTCACCATGGCATGACACTGCTAGGGTGACAGTATGTAAAAAAAAAATTATATAAAAAAATAAAATAAAAATGTAAAAAAAAATGTTTAAAAATAATAACTAATTTGGATTTTTTTTTTTTTTACTAAAGAGATAACGGAATAAATTTTGGCCAAGATTTATGATGAAATATTATTTATTTGCAAAATTTTGTAAAAAAAAAACACTTTTTTTTCAAAATTTTTGAACATTTTCATTTACATAGCAAAAAAAATAAAACTTCCAGCGGTGAATAAATACCACCAAAATACATCTTTATCTGTCTCAAACAAATGGTAAAAAATTCATTTGGGTACAATGTTGCATGACCGCGCAATTGTCATTCAAAGTGTGATAGCGCTGAAAGCTGAAAATTGCCCTGGTCAGGAAGGGGGTAAAAGTGTCCGGACTGGAAGGGGGTAAAAGTGTCCGGACTGGAAGGGGGGGAAAGTGTCCGGACTGGAAGGGGGGGAAAGTGTCCGGACTGGAAAGGGGGGGAAAGTGTCCGGACTGGAAGGGGGGGAAAGTGTCCGAACTGGAAGGGGGGGAAAGTGTCCGGACTGGAAGGGGGGGAAAGTGTCTGGACTGGAAGGGGGGGAAAGTGTCCGGACTGGAAGGGGGGGAAAGTGTCCGCACTGGAAGGGGGGGAAAGTGTCCAGACTAGAAGGGGGTGAAAGTGTCCGCACTGGAAGGGGGGGAAAGTGTCTGGACTGGAAGGGGGTGAAAGTGTCCGGACTGGAAGGGGGGAAAGTGTCTGGACTGGAAGGGGGTAAAAGTGTCCGCACTGGAAGGGGGGGAAAGTGTCTGGACTGGAAGGGGGTGAAAGTGTCCGGACTGGAAGGGGGTAAAAGTGTCCGGGGGTTAAAAGTGTCCGGGACTGGAAGGGGGTAAAAGTGTCTGGACTGGAAGGGGGTAAAAGTGTCCGGACTGGAAGGGGGTAAAAGTGTCCGGACTGGAAGGGGGTGAAAGTGTCCAGACTGGAAGGGGGTGAAAGTGTCTGGACTAGAAGGGGGTGAAAGTGTCCAGACTGGAAGGGGGTGAAAGTGTCCGGACTGGAAGGGGGTGAAAGTGTCCAGTCTGGAAGGGGGGGAAAGTGTTCGGACTGGAAGGGAGTGAAAGTGTCCAGTCTGGAAGGGGGGGAAAGTGTTCGGACTGGAAGGGGGTGAAAGTGTCCAGTCTGGAAGAGGGGGAAAAGTGTCCGCACTGGAAGGGGGTGAAAGTGTCCGGACTGGAAGGGGGTAAAAGTGTCCGGACTGGAAGGGGGTGAAAGTGTCCGGGACTGGAAGGGGGTGAAAGTGTCCGGACTGGAAGGGGGGGGGTAAAAGTGTCCGGTCTGGAAGTGGTTAAACCCCAATTTATTTCTGCATTAGTTACATTTCCACAATTGTATGATGTATGATGACTGAAGGCCTATGAAATCAAAGGGTACAGTGTCCTGCCTCTCTCCTCTACTTCTGCCACTAACAGACCTAATCGGCTTAATAGTTCCACAGGCATCTTCTAGAACAAGCTGTTATGAACGCATAAAAAAAGGCAATAATAAAATAATAACAATATAAGAATATTAAAAGCTCCAGTGACTTTTCTGTCCCCGCTGTACGGTGATTTGCGTGCGCACGTCCAGGGTCACACAGTCAAGAGGCCGGAATGTGGGATTTTACGAGCAAGCAGTAAAATACAATCAGCACCTCGGACAGGTCCAATTCAGGAGTGAAGCTTTTGTTTGGGGGGGGGGGGGGGGGCGAGCGGTTTAAAATGTGGTTATCTGACTAATGACTTCATTCTGTCTTCTTGTCACACATGTATGAGCAGCATCCAGCGAATTTCTTTTTGGATCTGTGGGTTGGGAGAAGGGAGCCCGGTCCCTTCATGCATGACAAGTCCTAATTTAAATTCTAATAATTCATTCTAAAAAGAGAGCCTTGCTAGGGACTTTCAGGCACAATGAATGGGATTTAAAAAAAAAAAAAAAAGAAGTTGGCTATTTCAGCGAGAGGCATTCAGAGACGCAGTAACTCGCCCCAAGGTCAGAAAGTTGGCAGCGACTCGCCAGCTATTGTCTCCCACTTGGAGGAAGCTATCATGAGTTTTCGGCAAAAGCAATTCTTTCGGTTGGGTTGTTGCATCGGCAACAGTTGCACTCAAACCAAATATTTCCGAGCTTGATGTGGTTAAAGAGGAACTTCACTTCACCCTACCTTCCTAAAAAAAAATGTCTAATCCTGAATAACTGTCCTTGACTTAAAATTTACGCCAAATGGCGTCAATGTACATTTGGCGTTAAGTGGTTGTAGGTTGCTTGTGCAGCTGCAGGCATCATCCCGGTATAGTTTTGTTACAGCCAGGGGCAGACTGACCATTTGGAAACTCGGGCACTGCCCGAGGGCCCGGGGTCAGTAGGGGGCCCCATGAGATGCCCCTGGTACCTTTTTCATAGGCTTTTTTGAGTTTGGGCAAGGACACAGGGGCCCCATGATCCCCTATTGCCCGGGGGCCCCATGAGTTGTCAGTCCGCCCCTGGTTACAGCCAATGGTCGGCTCTCTTGTAAAACTAACCTCTGGATTTCTATTACAGGCAGGGCCATGGATAAGGGGGTACCACCAGTCCACCTGTACGGAGCCAGGCCAGCAGGGGGGGGCCAAGCAGCTGGGTGAATCAGATGGGGGCAGGGATTGGCAAGGTGGGGGAACAATTACTGGAACCGGTCACCTGTATGGCTCTTTCTACAGCATCTGAAAGCTGGATTCTTCTCTCCCCCACCCACCATGCCATTCGCCCTCCCTGTGCACATCTGATTCACCCAGCTGCCTGGGCCCCCACAGTGCCGGCTTCCCGCCTCTCCTTTCGGCAGCTGCAAGCAAACAATAGGATCCTCCAGGATGGAGAGTGCGGAAAGGTCCGATAATTTTGTTACATTAATCAGCCCCTTCTTTTCCTGAATGAAAACAACGAGTGATCGGTACTGATCACTTGTTGTGTTCCTTCATAACTGAAGCCTAGTAAACTGTGCCTTTTTTTTTAAAGGGGGCCCTGTCAGGTTGGCTGTATGGGCCCCATGATTTCTATCAGCAGCCTTGATTACAGGCAACAAGAGGGGATGCCCCACCAGCTGCCTTCTATGGTTTTATCGGGCTGTCCCGTCCCACCGGGACACAAGATCGACTTGCTGGCGCTTCCCTGGCTGATCATAAAGCTGAACAAAGAGCAGAACCACTCGGTTCGGCTCTATGATATAGTCCCCTGGAAGCGATGACCTTACATCACTTTCAGTTTACCTGGATGTAAAGGGCGCCATTTTTAAAAATGAAAAGCATTTGATCACAACGATCTTGGTGAAGTGATCTTTGGTGTGATCAAATGATTTTAAAGTGGTTGTACAGGTTCAATGCGTTATATGCATAATGGTAAAAAACCTTTTGTGTGCAGCAGTGCCCCCAGCCTCCCAATACTTACCTGAGCCCCATCTCAGTCCAGCGATGTCCACGAGAGCCTCAATTCTCCGGGGACTCTCACTCCTGATTGGCTTAGGCCAATGGCTCCCGCTGCTGTCAATCACAGCCAGCGAGCCAATCGGGAGAGGGAGGATCAGGACCGAGCCACAGCTGTGTGTGAATGGACATAGCAAGCTGTTTGATGTGGGGGCACCCGACAGGAGGCAGGGCCAGGAGCACCGCTGCGGACCCGAGAAGAGAGAAGGCTCTGGGCTGCTCTGTGCAAAACCACTGCACACAGCAGGTAAGTATGACTCGTTTATTATTAAAAAAAAAAAAAAACAAGACTTTAGTATCACTGAAGTCAAGGGAAGCTTTCCCTCATTTACTAATCTCTGGAGCAACTGCACTTTGTAAAGTGCATGGTCAATTTGCCTTTAGTAAATCAACCCCAAAGTACCACTTAGGTTGCTAAAAACACAATGCTCCCTATAGGTTGCTCAGAAATCAATGCTCCCTATAGGTTGTTGGGAACACAATTCTCCCTATAGGTTGCTCGGAACACAATGCTCCCTTTAGGTTGTTCAGAACACAATGCTCCCTATAGGTTGCTCGGAACACAATGCTCCCTTTAGGTTGCTCAGAACACAATGCTCCCTATAGGTTGTTTGGAACACAATGCTCCCTTTAGGTTGCTCAGAACACTATTCTCCCTATAGGTTGTTCAGAACACAATGCTCCCTATAGGTTGCTCGGAACACAATGCTCCCTTTAGGTTGCTCAGAACACAATGCTCCCTATAGGTTGCTCGGAACACAATTCTCCCTATAGGTTGTTCAGAACACAATGCTCCCTATAGGTTGTTTGGAACACAATGCTCCCTTTAGGTTGCTCGGAACACAATGTACCTTTCAGGTTACTTGGAACACAATGCGCACTATAGGTGGCTTGAAATAGACTCCACCCTCCAGGTTGCTTGGAATGCAGTGCATACTGTAAGTGTCCTAAAGGAGAGTATACCCTCTAGGTAACTTTGTTAGACAATTTTTACTCCAGATGGCTTGGAACACAATGTACCCTTTAGGTTGCTTGGAACATAATGTACCTTTTAGATGTTTGGTACACAATGTAACCTTTAGGTTGCTTGGAACACAATGTACCCTTTAGGTTGCTTGGAACACAATGTACCCTTTAGGTTGCTTGGAACACAATGTACCCTTTAGGTTGCTTGGAACACAATGTACCCTTTAGGTTGCTTGGAACACAATGTACCCTTTAGGCTGTTTGGAACACAATGTACCCTTCACGTTACTTGGAACACAATGTACCCTTTAGGCTGTTTGGAACACAATGTACCCTTTAGGTTGCTTGGAACACAATGCACCCTCCAGGTTACTTGGAACACAATGCACCCTTCACGTTACTTGGAACACAATGCACGCTTCCAGGTTACTTGGAACACAATGCACCCTCAAGGCTACTTGGAACACAATGCACCCTCCAGGTTACTTGGAACACAATGCACCCTCCAGGTTACTTGGAACACAAGGCACCCTCCAGGTTACTTGGAACACAATGCACCCTCAAGGTTACTTGGAACTTAATTCATCATTTCAGGTTACTTGGAACACAATGCACCCTCCAGGTTACTTGGAACACTATGCACCCTCCAGGTTACTTGGAACACAATGCACCCTCCAGGTTACTTGGAACACTATGCACCCTCCATGTTACTTGGAACACAATGCACCCTCCAGGTTACTTGGAACACAATGCACCCTTCTAGGTTACTTGGAACACTATGCACCCTCCAGGTTATCTGGAACACAATGCACCCTCCAGGTTACTTGGAACACAAAGCACCGTCCAGGTTACTTGGAACACAATGCACCCTCCACATTACTTGGAACACAATGCACCCCAGGTTACTTGGAACACAATGCACCCTTCCAGGTTCCTTGGAACACAATGCACCCTTCCAGGTTCCTTGGAACACAATGCACCCTTCCAGGTTCCTTGGAACACAATGCACCCTTCCAGGTTACTTGGAACACAATGCATCCTCCAGGTTACTTGGAACACAATGCACCCTCCAGGTTCCTTGGAACATAATTCACCCTTCCAGGTTACTTGGAACACAATGCATCCTCCAGGTTACTTGGAACACAATGCATCCTCCAGGTTACTTGGAACACAATGCACCCTCCAGTGCACACCACATTCTAAAGTGTACCCACTATGCTAGGTGGCTTTGTTACGCAATGCCCCCTACAGATGACTTGGAGCACAAAGCACCCACTATATGTTTTTCTATAGTGTGCTCCCTCCGGGAGGCTTATGGTTTAAGTTAAGAGATGTTTGAGCAAGGCGTTAATGTGGAAGACCCATTCTTCTTGGGGGGCTTCTGAAGAATGGAGCTCCTGCCTCTACCATTGATGGTCACTTGGATGTATGCAGATAGTGTTGAGGTCAACCCATCAAGTGACATTCCTGTGAACCCCCAAAGAGTTTGCTCAGATCCTGTCAGACATGAAGGTTCCCCAGAACAGACAAATGATTACAAAAAGCTCCAGTCTGCTGGCCCGAGGATAACGCGTAACACAACTTGGCAAGTCACTGAACGGCTGCCAGGGCTTTTCTTTACAGTAGGAATGCTGGGAAATGCAGTTATGACACCTACAACACTGAATGTATGTAGTGGCAAGGAATGCTGGGATGTGCTGGAGGGTCTATTGTTACTGGCTTCTGGGGGATCTATTGTAGCAGGGGGAGGCAGAAGGGCACAGTACAGGGGGAGGCAGAAGGGCACAGTACAGGGGGAGGCAGAAGGGCACAGTACAGGAGGGAGGCAGAAGGGCACAGTACAGGGGGAGGCAGAAGGGCGCAGTATAGGGGGAGGCAGAAGGCAACAGTACAGGGGGAGGCAGAAGGGCACAGTACAGGGGGGAGGCAGAAGGGTACAGTATGGGGGGGGGGGGGGCAGAAGGGCACAGTACAAGGGGGAGGCAGAAGGGCACAGTACAGGGGGGAGGCAGAAGGGCACAGTACAGGGGGAGGCAGAAGGGCACATTACGGGGGGGAGGCAGAAGGGCACAGTATGGGGGGGGGGGGCAGAAGGGCACAGTACAGTGGGAAGCAGAAGGGCACATATGGGGGGGGGGGGCAGAATGGCACAGTATGAAGGGGCAGAAGGGCACAGTACAGGAGGGCAAGGAAGAAGGGCACAGTATGGGGGAAGGGAGAAGGGAACAGTATGAGTTGGAGTCAGAAGGGTACAGTATGGGGGGAGGCAGAAGGGCATAGTACAGGAGGGAAGGAAGAAGGGAACAGTATGGGGGGGGGGGAGGCAGAAGGACACACTACAGGGGGAAGGTAGAAGGGCACAGTATGAGTTGGAGTCAGAAGGGTACAGTATGGGGGGAAGCAGAAGGGCATAGTACAGGGGGAAAGGAAGAAGGGAACAGTATAAGGGGGGAGGCAGAAGGACACACTACAGGGGGAAGGTAGAAGGGCACAGTACAGGGGGAGGCAGAAGGGCACAGTATGGGGGGGGGGGGCAGAAGGGCACATTACAGGGGGAGACAGAAGGGTACAGTATGGGGGGGGGGCAGAAGGGCACAGTACAGGGGGAAGCAGAAGGGCACACATATAGGGGGGGCAGAAGGGCACAGTATGAGGGGGCAGAAGGGCACAGTATGAGGGGGCAGAAGGGCACACAGTACAGGAGGGCAAGGAAGAAGGGCACAGTATGGGGGAAGGGAGAAGGGAACAGTATGAGTTGGAGTCAGAAGGGTACAGTATGGGGGGAGGCAGAAGGGCATAGTACAGGAGGGAAGGAAGAAGGGAACAGTATGGGGGGGGGGGGGAGGCAGAAGGACACACTACAGGGGGAAGGTAGAAGGGCACAGTACAGGGGGAAGGCAGAAGGGCACAGTACAGGGGGAAGGCAGAAGGGCACAGTACAGGTTCCATGACACTGCCTGGAACACATGCA